AGTTTAAGAGCGTATCATTTAATTTCAGCGCTCTCTCTCTCTCTCTCTCTCTCTCTCTCTCTCTCTCTCTCTCAGTGAATGAAGCATTCGTCACATTCTGTCAGGCTGCCAAAGCGCAAACACAGTGTGATTGTGGGACTTTTGTGTGTCCTGCTCAGTGAAGTGGCACCTCTTGTTCAGATCAGCAGGATTACCTGAAACTGTGCCAACTTCTCTCTTTCCTTCCTCCAGTTTTCAAGGAAACTGTGTGCAAAAGTTCAAAAGTATAAATGTGGCAGGGTTGGGGAGGTTATTGTGCGTGCTTTTGCTTAGCAATACTTTGGGGCCCCGATTTGAGCACTTTGGGGATGTGCTCAACTGGAAAAAAGTCATTTTAATTGCAAAAGTTTTCTTTTTGGGTTAGGAATTGAGTTTATTTGAGTTATTTAAGTATATAATATGTGTGCGTTTGTTTTGCTTTCATTGTGAGGGCCAAATATAGTCCTCACTAGTTAAAAGATCTAAAAATGGCCCAAATAGTGTCTTAAGTAAAATCTAGAATGTGTCCACAAGTAAGTGAAAAATATCTAAAATCAGCTGCTTTCAGTGCAGCCAATAATGCTTAAGTGGAAAATGGCATTACATTTTTTTTCAAAATGGCTTAAAATGTGGAAAATGAGTTTGATTTAGAGAATAGAAATATTATTAGTTCAGTATAAAAATAATAGAAGTCAAAGGATAGTTCACACAATAAATAAGAAATGTGCTTAGCATTTACTTTAACATTTACGTTTATGTTCATGACTTTTTTTGGCAGTATTTTAGTATTTTTATATAATGTTTATATATTATATTGAGAATTAGCTTTTATTTGTATTTTTTCCCACTTAGCCCAAATGAACAAATTAAATATTTAATTTGAGTTAACTGTTAAGTTAATTTTAGTTTAAGTTTCAGAAATGTTGTTATTTTATTCTTTTTTTAAATGTTTCTAGACTTTAAAAAATTTTTTTGGAAGTGGTAAATAATGATTTTTGGAGTACATTTGAGAAGAAAATACTGTTTCAGCCTTTATACTTTATAATTTCATGTTTATTCAATGTGTGATTTGCCGTTTCTTTGTAATTAATTGTGAAATTTACTAGCAATTTCTGAGTGAAAATTGTTTCTGCCCAATTTTTTTGTGTAAATAGCTTTAATTTATTATTATTATTTTTAGTTTTAGTAATTTAGTACATTTTAAATAATAAGGACTTATTTCAGTTAGTTTCTAAGACAACATTTCCAATTGATATTTAATATGTTTTATTTTATTATATTTTACTTCAATTACTGACAATATTTTTTTAAGATTTTTATTTTTAGTCAACCGCAACAGCGGTGCATGCATGTGTCGAATACCTGAACAAGATCTTACCATGGCACAAGTATTAAAGGAGACATATTATGCCACTTTTTACAATATGTAATATAAGTCTCTGGTGTCCCCAGAATGTGTCTGTGAAGTTTCAGCTCAAAATACTCCACAGATCATTTATTATATCATTTTGAAAATGCCTATTTTGAGTGGAAGCAGAAACAGGCTGTTTTTCAGGCCTGTCTCTTTAAATGCAAATGAGCTGCTACTCCCCGCCCCCTTTTCCAGAATAGAGCTGCGACCTTTACAACTCGTACCTGCTAAAAAACATCTGTTTTGATTCTGATTGTCATGTTTCTCGCGCTGAAATCATGAGTTTTAAACCATATGAGTTTAAACTTCTGATATACAGCGCACACAGCCGAAGCACACGGACAGAAAGCGGCTGAGTACTAAACTAAGTTCTCATTCACACAAGTTTACGTTAAAAACACAAGAGTTACAAAAACAGTTGGTTATGTCTGTGAAGGTAAACAGCTGGGAAATAAATTGCATGTTTATTTTAGATCTGTGTAGCAGCAGCAATATACAGTAAATAAATCAATAAATCCACTGCTCTCTTGTCTCCTCTGAGGCTGGGACTGTAAATAGTGTTCTGTGCTCGTCTGTGCAGACAAAGACAGAACAGTTAGCATGTTCTGCTCAAACCTTCGCCATGGCATTAGAGCTGGCACACCGTTGTCGCTTGCGAAAACACAATAACGGTGCCTTGGCTGGAAATTTACAGATTAAGAGGCGATAATATTATAATGAGATCCCTTCCCACGTCACCAAGGGAGCGAAATCAGACGCGCTCGTTTTCTCAGATGCTTGCAGAAAAAGGCTTACCAAAACAAAGTTACTGGGTTAATTAATAATAGTTTTTCACGTTTCCTTGGTTGGCAGATGCACTGGGGACCTGTTTATAGCACTTAAAACCTGGAAATGTCAGATTTTCATATGTCACCTTTAAGATTGCTTAGTCCAAAAAGAGATTTAAGTGTTGTAAAGGTCTACTTTACTGCAGATACTTTAGATCTGGATGTTGATGTGTTGTTGTTTTAGGGGACTTGTTGGGAATTGAACATCACAGCTGTGCAGATCTGTATAATAGTGAGTGTCTATGTTTATGTGTGTGTGTGTGTTTGCTTATGGGATCAGAGTCTTAATCCTAATGTGCTGAACTGGACACACACATGATAATTGTTTTGTGCACAGAATCTTAATGTGATCTGTAGAGATGTGATTTTAGAACTGGCATCTGTTAAGCTTCTTTGTAATGTGAAATGTGAATCCAGAAAGCTGCTCTTTCCTCAAGTTTGTGAGGAATTAGGAATAGGGAGTTATGGATTGGTTTAGCTTGCCTGATGGTTTTTGAGATTGCTACTCTGACATAAACTGTATTTGCTCTTTGTCTGTCTGATGTGAAGACAGTGTAAGTGAAAAATGAGATGTCTGGAGTCCTTTAGATGTTTTTGAAGACATCCAGGGCTGCGTTTCCCAAAAGCATCATAAGCCTAAGTTGATCACAGCTCCATTGGTTTCAATGGGTCTACGATGTACTTAAGCATACGATGCTTTTGGGAAACGCAGCCATGAATGATTGGATTGATTAGCATATACAGGTGCATCTCAATAAATTAGAATGTCATGGGAAAGTTCATTTATTTCAGTAATTCAACTCAAATTGTGAAACTCGTGTATTAAATAAATTCAGTGCACACAGACTGAAGTAGTTTAAGTCTTTGGTTCTTTTAATTGTGATGATTTTGGCTCACATTTAACAAAAACCCACCAATTCACGATCTCAACAAATTAGAATATGGTGACATGCCAATCAGCTAATCAACTCAAAACACCTGCAAAGGTTTCCTGAGCCTTCAAAATGGTCTCTCAGTTTGGTTCACTAAGCTACACAATCATGGGGAAGACTGCTGATCACGAAATTACAGATGTGCAAATGTGGAATCATGTTCTCTCTGGCAGTCAGATTAGGGCCGTTTATTCAAACCAGGAACCGTATGTGCCGAAGGGAAACGTGTTCAACTGGAACACCATCAAATATGAGATTAATGGAAATGTGGTGGTGGTGCAAGATAACTGATTCTGATCAGGTGTAACCTCTCATACTGCCTCATCCACACAGTTGTCAATTTCTATAATCTATTTGTGTTTTAATTTACAAAGCTGTAAGTAATAATTCACAAAAGTAACCAGTAAAAGCTCTCCACATTACAACAGTGTCTGCTCATATTTTTTATTTTTGTGTATGTGGAAAATTAGACAAATTTATCCAGAGACGGTGCTTTATTGTGTGTAAGCGATTTACATCACTCATGTTATCTCTTGGTTGTAATGCCGTTTCTAGCACAACCATAGACTATATATTAAAAAGACCAACATTTTGCAACTAAAAATAGTTTTAATTAACTGTACTGTGTGCCATTGTGACAACACTGTCAATGAAGAGCTTATATGGAAGAAATTAAGGGGGTCCTATGATGTTGCTAAAAAGAACATTATTTGGTGTAATGCAATGTTTATGCGGTTTAAGGAGTAAAAAAAAAAAAAAAACGTTATTTTCTACATAATGCACATTATTGTTGCTCCTCTATGCCCCGCCTTTCATCGTTCTGAAAAGTGAGGTGTGCTCTGATTGGCCAGCTATCCAGTGCGTTGTGATTGGCTGAATATCTCAAGTGTGTGACAAATGTTACGCCCCTCACCACACTGCGTTTCCATCATACAGTCTATGGTTTCCATGCGTCCCGGCACGACGAGATAAAACCCATTACAAACGAGGCATTTGTTGCATCCAGTGGGGACATAATTACTTATTGTAATGACTTATACTGTGTTTTTACGCTTTGCGTTGCGTATTGCGGTGCGCAAACATAAAACTATGTCTGCATTTGTGATCGGAGAAATGACAAACAAGAGCTACTCTACACTGCTCAAAACTCACGTTTGAATCGTCAGTGGCAAATTCTTTAAATATAAAAAAAACTTACTTACAGGCTGTGAGTCAGAAGCGCCAGACTGTCCTTGCAAAGTTGGAACTGCCCCACTTTATAGAAACTATGTCCTCTTTTGGAAGACCAAACAAAGTAATCACACTTGAGCAGTCGTAGTTTTTATGTGTGCTGAAAAAAAGTAGAAGCGGCGAAAGAGGAAGGCATAAGAGCTTAAGGTAAGAAGTTTTATGTTTTAGCGCCATGTCGCATTTTTATTGGCTGGTCAGTAAATGTGGATCGTAGGAGCAAACACACTGTGCGATCGCTGATGATCATGCTGTATTTTTGACACTTAGGAAATGATCGTATTCTATCTTTGGTCACAAGACCATGACAACAGCCGTCTTTGAAACTCTCTCTCACTGTAAGGACATTAGGGTGCCACGATCACAGAAATCGCCACGAATGTGTAACGATGTCAATCTTTCATCTGGGACAGCCGATAATCGTGCAGTGTGTTTTAGGCTTTATAGTATATAAATATTAGCTCACATGCTCCATATAGTTTCTCTATAGTATGTGAATGAAGTTGAAAATGTCATTAACAAATCAGATAAAAACATATTAAGTGACCAGGTGTTCTGATTCAGGCCCATTGATTCAAGGGCTTGATTAGCTGGATCAGGTGTGTTTAATTAAGGCTGAAGATAAACTCTGCAGAGCTATGGCACTCCAAAATTGAAACTGAGTTGAGTATGTATTATTAAGTTTTATTTTCACTTAAGCATTACTGCTCCACACTCCAGTAATGCACTAATGAGCTAGTCTGCCAACCACCATAAAACAACAGAAGAAGAAGGAACCTCTAGCCCTAATCTAATAGCTCTTCTCTCATATAAGATCTACTAAACATTGTAAGTATTAACATTGTGTTTTTGGCCTGGATTCACTGGCAGAATTAGGCCCTAGTTAAATTAGGCCATTTAAGTAAAAACATTTTTTAAATGTGCTTTTTTAAATTATGTTGATACAAATGAATGGCATTGACATATTTTTAGAATTGTCAGTATGAGTTGCTTCAGTTAGAAAAGCTCAAACATGCATTTTAGTCTGGGACTAAGCCTCGTCTGTGTTGTCCTTTAAAAATGTTTTACTTTGACACTTAAAATGTGATTTTTAAATTAACAATGAGGCAGTGAAGAATTGATCATTAAACTAGGAGTAATGTTTTTGCATTTTTACCGGTCAGAGGATATACTCCATTATTTAAATACAGCCCTTCTTGCAGACAATCTATTTTTTTTTTTTTTTATACAAATAGCAATCATTTTATTCTTCAGACCTGAAGCATGATGTTGATGCCAGTGGCTTCATTTTTCTGTCTGCTCTTTCTGACACCAGCGGCTACTGAAGGTACCACATTTTTCAATTATTGATCACGTGGATTTATTATGAGTGGGATTTTTTCTTTTTTTTTTTTTACCATTTATTCTGGTTTTCTTGCAGTGGGCCTCGGTGGTAAAGTGCTTCTGTTTCCAACCAAGACTCACACCAGCTTTGTTAAACTCACTCCTGAAAAGCCACTGAGTCTTTCAGCATTCACACTCTGCATGCGTGTCGCGACAGAGCTCCAGGACCAGAGGGAGATTATTCTGTTCACTTACCGCACACACGAGGTTGATGAACTCAACGTGTGGAGACGTAAAGATGGTTTTCTGGGCTTGATTATTCAGTCTAATGGCGATGAAGCTTTTTTCCACCTGCCTCCTCTCTCCACCTTCCAGACTCACCTGTGTGTCACCTGGGACTCTGCGACTGGTCTCACTGCCTTATGGGTGGATGGACATCGCAGTGTGTTCCAGATCTATAGAAAAGGTCTCTCAGTCCGTCCAGGTGGCACCGTGCTGCTTGGCCAAGATGCTGATAAATATCTGGGTGCCTTTGATGCGGAGCAGAGTTTTGTAGGAGAAATTACAGATGTGCAAATGTGGAATCATGTTCTCTCTGGCAGTCAGATTAGGGCAGTTTATTCAAACCAGGAACCGTATGTGCCGAAGGGAAACGTGTTCAACTGGAACACCATCAAATATGAGATTAATGGAAATGTGGTGGTGGTGCAAGATAACTGATTCTGATCAGGTGTAACCTCTCATACTGCCTCATCCACACAGTTGTCAATTTCTATAATCTATTTGTGTTTTAATTTACAAAGCTGTAAGTGCTAATAATTCACAAAAGTAACCAGTAAAAGCTCTCCACATTACAACAGTGTCTGCTCATATTTTTGAATTATTATTTTGTGTATGTGGAAAATTAGACAAATTTATCCAGAGACGGTGCTTTATTGTGTGTAAGCGATTTACATCACTCATGTTATCTCTTGGTTGTAATGCCATTTCTATCACAACCATAGACTGTATATAAAAAGATAACGACCAACATTTTGCAACTAAAAATAGTTTTAATTAACTGTACTGTGTGCCATTGTGACAACACTGTCAATGAAGAGCTTATATGGAAGAAATTAAAGGGGTCATATGATGTTGCTAAAAAGAACATTATTTGGTGTAATGCAATGTTTATGCGGTTTAAGGTGTAAAAAAAAAAAACTTTATTTTCTACATAATGCACATTATTGTTGCTCCTCTATGCCCCGCCTTTCATCGTTCTGAAAAGTGATGTGTACTCTGATTGGCCAGCTATCCAGTGCGTTGTGATTGGCTGAATATCTCAAGTGTGTGACAAATGTTACGCCCCTCACCACACTGCGTTTCCATCATACAGTCTATGGTTTCCATGCGTCCCGGCACGACGAGATAAAACCCATTACAAACGAGGCATTTGTTGCATCCAGTGGGGACATAATTACTTATTGTAATGACTTATACTGTGTTTTTACGCTTTGCGTTGCGTATTGCGGTGCGCAAACATAAAACTATGTCTGCATTTGTGATCGGAGAAATGACAAACAAGAGCTACTCTACACTGCTCAAAACTCACGTTTGAATCGTCAGTGGCAAATTCTTTAAATATAAAAAAAACTTACTTACAGGCTGTGAGTCAGAAGCGCCAGACTGTCCTTGCAAAGTTGGAACTGCCCCACTTTATAGAAACTATGTCCTCTTTTGGAAGACCAAACAAAGTAGTTTCGCATTCACGACATGGCGGTGGCGGCAGCAACAAAACTACAGCGAGAATAAAAGTTACACCACCTTTGTGAACATTTGGGCGGCCTTATGCAAATCTTCCCACACAGTGACGTAGACATGTGGGGGCGTGTTATAACGAGCCGTTTTAGGGGGGCGTGGACGAGTGTTAACTTTTATAAAGAATATCTCTTTGGATTTCAGACTTTAGTCTTTGCAACTTTACAGATCTTCTTTATGCACCAAGAGCTTGTAACACTCCAAAGAGAAAGGACAAATTGAAATCGCATCATATGACCCTTTTAAGTGAACTATTGAGAATGGCAGTGCGACTTGTGTGTTCTCTTTAAAAAGTCCACCGGAAACGAGAGCTGCGCCAGGAAAATATCTGCAGCGCCTCCTACTGCACTGCGATGGAATAACAAGCTCGCTGAAGGCGCTCAAAGAAGACAATGCGTAAAATTCTGTTTCAGAAATGTGCTTCTAATGGTTTTCACCTCTTGTGGCTCCAGATTGTGGCTTTAATTTCATTTTAGGTAACGCGATTGATGTTTTTGGGAAACTTGGTAAGTTTTAGGAATGTAGATGCGCGTCCAGTTACGCAGAGATGTTTGCACATGTTTAAAGTTATATATCCTGTTGTATCTACAATAAGCCGTTTCATATGTGAAAATACATCTAAAAACAATTTATTTGAGTTTGTTAATGCTGGACCACTTCACTTCATGTCCACTAGAGGTCGCGATTGAGCCTCACAGATTCCCACAAGAGTCGTTCAGTCAGGGAAGATTATTGATGCTTGATATGTACCTCACAAATGAAGGCTGTGAAGACAAATTGTTATTATCCAGGACCATTACTAAATAATTAAACATTAAAATATTCCAGAGTTTGATAAACAAGCCTGTTGAAATATTGTTGTCCCGTGTATTTTACATGTTTACTGTTAAAAATATTTTCTGATCGTAATCAACAAATTAATTTACATATGTAGGCTATAGACCTGTGTGTGTATATATTAATTTATTTTGTCTGCATTAGCCTATTTCATTTAAAGAATGATATATTAATATGGTCTCTAATCAATTTATTAAATCGTTGAACACTTGTTATTGAAGAAATGTATTCATGTTTTTAGACAACCCTGTTGAAAAAAACAGCATATGCTGGTTAGGTATGTTTTGACGCTGGGATGCTGGTTTAAGCTGGTCCTTTGCTGGTTTATGCTGGTCCTTTTGCTGGTTTATGCTGGTCATGTGCTGGTTTTTGCTGGTCCTTTGCTGGTTTATGCTGGTCATCTAACCAGCATATGCTGTTTTTTTCAACAGGGTAATATAACATATTTAGCAAAAATATTCTAAGTAGGTTTGTTTTAATAATTTAATCCCGCAATGAAAACTCTGAACACAATGTAAGTAGATTTTAAGATTTATTAGTGTTTTTGATATTTCGTAAATATATATTTTAAACCTGTCACTATTAAGTTACATATTATTCTTCCATTCAGTGTTTGTCTTTCTTATCAGAAATGTTAAATGTGTCTAACCATTTATTTTGGCAAATGTCAACCAGTTGCCAAATTGGTTGGCATTTGATGAAGATGGCGCCGCAGACGGCAGCCGCAGTGTTTGGCTCTCCAGTGTTTGTACTGTTTTTGTTAGTTTTTCCTGTTTTTTGTTCAACAAAATAATTGTTCCGAGGTTCAATGTGTATGTGTATGTTTATGTTTATTCTCTGACAGCAGAATTGTAATAATTATCATGTCTGTGGTGACCAGCTCCATTCTGACACCTGTGTTTGTGGCAGGTGACCTTTCAGATGCATGTGTAAGAAAGTGGGCGAGAGGTTCGGGGTGTGTCTCCGTTCAGGTTTTCTGTCTGGGGCCCGTCGACCGTCTCGTCCCTGCAGCTTTGACCTTTCAGTGTGGAGGAGCTTCTTCTCAGGTACGGCTCACGGTCACAGTTCACCTTTATCACAGCAGAGCAACACGTCAGGAACGATACTGTACACCTGTAAGCACCGTATCACTATGTATTAGCGCAAACCGTTTTACCCTACAGCCCTCCTAACCGAAACATTAACCTCTTTCACAAAATCTGTCTGGTTGTATTTATTATGCAGTCATACTGTAAACTACACTTAACCTAAATATTTTTTTCACCACTGTCTTGCAATGCAGAAGCAAAGATATTCACACAAGCACTAAAATAATTTGATCATTTTATTGCAGGATTTTTTATGCATCTGAAATGAACACAAAATTCACACTGATGAAACAGTAATGTGAGATTAGCAGTATCTTCCTTCAGTTTTTTTGTGTGAAACAATCATCTTATTTGCATCTTGTTTGAATGTTGATTATTTACAGAAGACAAGAAGTCTTAAAACAAACTTATGGAGGAGCTGAGTGCATGAATAAATGCAAAATAAATAAAATATGTGACATATGTCAGAAAACTACATGTGTTACAAACAAATATATTAAATAAATACAGTTGTAGTTCCTTAACCCTTTTCTTTTAAACCAGGGTTTGATTTTCGTCCTGTAATGGGACTCATTCTGTACATGGATTTTAATTTAGTAAACCATAATTCATTAAATGATTTTGATCATTAAGTCAGTGCATGTATTTTGTCCTTCATATTTTCCTCCATCAGTTCTTTTTGGCATAAGCTGCTTGGTTTAGATCTGTGCTTGATTCTTCATATCTGTATCATCTTTTCACAGTTTATTTTGTAAATCATATAGTGTTTTATATAGTGTTGCTCTGGGTTGGGTTGTGTTTTTTTTAAAGTCTCTTCTACTCACCAAAGGTTAAAATTTATTTGATCAAAAATACAGTAAAAACAGCAAAATATTATTGTTATTTTAAATAACTGGTTTCTATTATAATATATTTTCAAATGTAATTTATTCCTGTGATTTAAATCTGAATTTTCAGCATCATTACTCCAGTCTTCAGTGTCACGTGGTCCTTCAGAAATCATTCTAATATGCTGATTTGCTGCTCAAGAAACATTTCTAATTTTTTTGTTTGTTTGTTTTTGCAGAAACTGTGATACATTTTATTTTTCAGGATTCGTTTATGCATAGAAAGTTAAAAACAAATAGCAGTTATTTGAAATTGAATCTTTTGTAGCCTTATAAATGTCTTTATTGTTATTTTTGATCAATTTGATGCGTCCTTGCTGAGTACAAGTATTAATTTCTTTAAAAAAAAGAAGAAGCATAATTTTAGTCAAGTGTGTCCAAACATTTATCTTGCAATGTAAATGATGAAAGTCCTTGTTTATTTTTCTTGTTCATGTTCGCTACACCAGTGTGTCGGTGGTTGTTAACGGGCTGGTCGGACAAAGCGTGTCCAGATGTTGAATGGACGACGGTCTGTTGGGTGTTTTGGAGCAGAGAAGGACACTTGAGTCGGCTTCACACTTCGTGGTTCTGCTGTGCCACAGAACTTCAGCCGTCCCGGGCCGAATCGCCAGCCCGCCATCAGACAGCACCTCTGTCTTCACCACAGGCAGCTGGGATGGATTGAGTTTCATCAGTGCATCCAGAGAGCACCTCTGCCTTTCTTTAACACCGCTTCCTCGCTCCACCGCATCTCCACCATATTTATCATCCTCCTCTTCCTCCTCGTCTTCCGTCTCGGAGCAGATTTCATCTCCTGTGTCTTTTGTTTCTCCTAGAACGTCTCCAGCGACGTTCGTGATTCCCACAGTGTCTTTTTTGATGGATAGATCGAGCGGCCCTTCATTGGAGTGAGTTGTGCGGTTGTGCGCTTGTTGAATGTGCGACAGCTCCGACCGGATCTTTCCCAGGTGCGCCCACAGGTGGCACTGCTCCGGCAGAGCGGCAGAGAGCTGCTCTGTGTTCTGGTACTCCTGCAGTAATGTGCTGAAGTCCTGCAGGAGCACAGCTGCTGGGTCCGTGTCTCTCTCCATTCCTCTCTGTCTCGCCTCTAGCTGCTCAGACATATGTGGCGGGGACGAGACGTCACTGCGGGGGCTGTGAAAACACAGTTTAATTGTATCTAAATACCATTCATCAATTCCATCCTCAGTGTGTAGTACATAGAGCGAGACTCAAGCAAGACATCCCAGATATAATGCACCTGGTGTGTATATTTATAAATAGATGCAATGTATCTGGCATGTCTGTTTCTGGATATCTTAAAATACTCCTTATAATCTTATTTTCTCTCATAAAGCAACAAGCACAAGAGATCATGCTTTACAGTGCTTTTCAACATTGGTGTAATTGGTGTACTAAACGTGA